TATTCACCACCCGCCCACTCCCCCCCCCTGTCTTGTCCCAATCATCCTGGGAGTCACACAGATCTACAAATGTGTGCATTTTAATTTTAACATCATATCTAAGATGTTGCAAGGAGCCAGTCGCCACTGGCCTCCAGTGTCAGCCCCTACTGCATGTGGAAACTCAGGCCTCTCAACGGGGGAGCTGGGCCATGGAAGGTGAATGGTGGGAGGGCTCAGATTCTGCTCTGGGGAATCCTGGAAAATTGAAGGTTGGCACCTGCCCCCTAGATATGTGGACTCTGTCCTCAGCGCCCCAGACAGTCTGCCCAGGTCTGCTTCTTGTGAGCTCAAGATCCTTTGCCTGTGAGCCAGGACATGTCACCAGTCCTGCAGGAATGTGAAAAAGGAGGGGGGGGGCGGGTTTGTCAGGGTAGAAGAAGACAACAAGTGCCCCCCACCCCTATTCTGGGCAAGACAAGCAGCTTGCCCATCAGGACAAAGGGGAGGCCCACTCCATGCTATGGCCGCCATGAGAAAATGCACGTACTTGCTGTGCAGCATAAACAGCCTTTTGGAAGGCAAGAGAGAGAGACAGAGAAAGCCAGGTCCAGTCATTCAGTGGTCCTTCATTGCTTCCAGCTGTGGCCACTGGAGTCCCTGCCCCTTGCCCCTCAGTGGCCTGCAGGCTTTCCCTAGCCCCTGTAGGTCTCTGCAAGCCATGATTATCCACGTACCACCAGTCATTCCCACCCTACTGTACCCCACCTCCAACACAGCCCCCTTTCATGCTAGCCTCCCTTGAGCAGGGAAGCTAGCCCCCTCCCATATTGCAGCCCACACCCCACACGCCCTGGGTCTAAAGCAGGAGGGGGCCTTCACCCCTTCCTTCCCAGGCCTCACTCCCCCACAACTTACTCCACTTCTCGCTTCCGGATGGCTCGGCCCGAGGCTAGCACCTCGGCCACCTTGGACACGATGGGGTCGTAGTTCATGCTGGCCACAGCGATCACCTCATCGCCTCTATGAGGGGAAAGTGGCCAAGCCTGAGGACCGACTGGCCGCAGCCCCTTCCCAGAGGACCCTGACGGGTTATTGTCCACCTGGGATAGGGACAGTGGATGGGATCTTGCCCACCCACTGGCGAGGCAGCAGCTGTGTGGAAAGGACCCGCCTTTTCCTGTTTCTGCGTGCCGCTGAAGGCTAGGTTGAATTCCTTCCCTACCTGTGTGACATCCCCAAAGCAGCAGTCAACGTCTACTTCCAAGGACTGCGACGGACCACCTTTTGCAGCCACTCACCAATTCCATCCAGTCTCTGGCCTCACGTTCCTCCCCCTGCCCCTGCCCCTCCCTCTGTGCCCTCCCATCCCTCACCCCATCAGAGTGCTTTCTCACTTGGTGTAAAAAGCCACAAACTTCAGCTCTTCCAGGTCCCCCTGAATGATGACATCGTCGAATCCTTCTCCGTAACCTGGAAGCCGGGCAGACACATGGACGGGGCGGGCTCTATGCCCTGGGTCCTTGTAATTCCTCCTTGCTAAAGTCCCCACTGCCCAGCTCCCCAAGTTCTTAAGTTCCTCCTCACCCCGCCCCCAGCAAACTCCTAACTACTTATTCCTAGGGCAGTCACGTGCCCACCCAGAGTGCTCCCAGCCCCACCTCCCAGCCTCACCTCTGCTCCCCACTGACACTTTACCTAAACCTGCCCAATGCCTTCCCAGCACCACCTGCCTCCCCTCCCCACCCCAAACTCCCCAGCATGCACTTGCACACAACACCACTGCTGCCCCTACCTCCACCATCACCTATACCTCCTCTACCACCACCTCCACCATCACCTCCTTCACCCCCACCTATACCTCCTCTACCAGCACCACCACCTATACCTCCTGTACCACCACTACCACCACCACCTATATATGCCTCCTCTACCAGCACCACCACCCATACCTCCTGTACCACCACTACCACCACCACCTATACCTCCTCTACCAACACCTCCACCATAACCTCCACAAACACCTATACCTCCTCTACCACCACCACCACCTATACCACCCTCACCACCATTACCAGCATAACGAAGGCTCTTGCCAAACATGGCCGTCCAGAGGTAGGGCACTGTGCCGATCTCAGCCTCTTGTGCAAGCATGTTCTGGGCCGCCACCCGTCCTGCAAGACTCGAGCCTGTGAGGGCACAGCTCTGATATCCACACACACCCCCCACCTACCTGGGAGCCATCCCCTTGTTCAGCCACTGCCACCCTCTGTTGTAGCCTATGGGTGAAGAGGGAAACGATGTCTGGCCCTTTGTTACCCACTGCAATTGAGTCATAAGGACCCTATAGGACAAAGTATAACTTCCCTCTAGAGTTTCTAAGGCTGTCAGTCTGTATGGGAACCCACTGTCTCATCTTTGGTCCAGGGAGTGGCTAGTGGGTTTAAACCACTGCCCTTTCACGTAATGCTTAATCTACCATGTCCCAGGGCCCTGGAGCCCATTCCTACAAGACAGACTCATAGTAACCCTACAGGACAGAGTGGAACTGCCCCCTGGGCTCTCAAGACTGTCAGTCTTTCCCATGGCATAGTTGGTGGTATACAACCACTGGCCTTGAGAACAGCAGCCCAACACTTAAGTCACCAGGGCTCATCAACTGGCTGCTACTCCTTCTGGAGAATTTGAAATGAAGTGGCCCGGGCCTGGAAGGGCTGCTTGCTGGGGCCGTGTGGCCCAAGTGGGCCATCCCAGGAAAACCCTTTGTTATATGATTAACTTCAAAAAGTTTATGGGAAAATCCCAGGATCTTTCATTCTCGTTTTCCCATGAACCTTTGAAGCTTCCTTGTATGTGCAATAGAAGCCCTGGTAGTGTAGTGGAGATGAGTTGACATAGATTCAATGGCAGCGAGATTGGATTGGATGTGTAGGTATCCCTGATGGTGCTTTGGGTTAAGCCAGTAGTTCTCAACCTGTGGGTCACAACCCCTTTGGGGGTCTAATGACCCTTTAACAGGGGTCGCCCACTTAACAACAGTAGCAAAATGACAGTGATGAAGTAGCAATGAAAATAATTTTATGAAAAAAAAATAATAATAATTTTATGATTGGAGGGTCACCACAACACGAGGAACTATATGAAAGGGTCGCGGCGTTAGGAAGGTTGAGAACCACTGGGTTAAGCATTGGGCTGCTAGTGTAGGGTCTCTGAGGCTGCACATCTTAAAAACCTTAATGGAAGCCAATAGCCTCATCGTTCTCCCTTGGGGTGACTGGTGGATTTGAACTGCCAACCTGGTGGTTATCAGCTCTGCGCTAAATCCCTACACCACTGAGGCGCTTTGTCAGTGACAGATGAGTCCTCGACCTAATCGCTTTTGAGTTTCAAGAAGGGCAGATTAACCATAGGAGGGAGTACAAATCAGGGAAGACAGAGGCCATGTGAAGATGGCCAAGGAGTGAGGGAACGCTGGCACCAGAGAAGCTGAGATAAGATCTCTCCCCAGGACCACAGCCTTGCACTCAGCACTGTGAGAACAGTAATGTCTGTCCTTGGAGGACGCCCACTGGTGGGGTTTCAGTCCTGCTAGAAGACTCTCGAGGGCACTCTCACTCGAACTCACTGACATCGAGTCCAGGCCACTCAGCGACCCCGCAGGACAGGGTAGAACTAGCCCTGTGAGCTTCTGAGACTGTGACTCTAGGAGAGTAGAAAGCCCCATCTTTCTTCCACGGAGCAGCTGGTGGTTTTCCAGCTGCTGCCCTTGAGATTGCAGCCCGATGTACAAGCACTGCGCCGGGGCTCCTGACATAAAACTATCAAGACCACCGCCATTGGGTCGATTGGGACGCCTGGCGACCCTGTACAGGGTTTCCAAGGCTGGTCCATCTTCACAGGAGCAGACAGCCTCACACTGGCTCCGGAGGAGGAGCTGGTGGGCTTGAACTATCAACCTTGTGGTGAGTAGCCCAATCCATGTCCAACCTACAGTACCATGGGGCCACCAGATGCTACCCACTGAGCCCAAGCCTCTAGGGCCCGATGGCCACCCCTCCCGATCTGTCATGGGCAACTGAGCTAGCTGTGGCCCAAGGGAGGTGGAGGCCCTTGGGCCCTGGGTAGACAGACAGTCCTGGGAGGACGTGCAGGCCAGTCGGAGGCACACTGCAGGGCGTTTGTCCCCGAGGACACACAGGACGGTGCGCATGACAAACTGAACAGGGTATTTGGTGTCTGTCTAGGGAAGGTCCCGCGGACGGGCTCGCTGAACCCCTGACTGAGGCTGGAAGTCAGCCCTAAGTGGAGCCTTCGGGTGGACAGGGGCGGGCACCGCGGCGTGGGGGCGTGGCCTGGCGGTGGCCGTACCCTGCGCATGCGCCATCTGCCAGTGTGGGATGTTGACCCTGCGGTTGTTCCTCCAGGCCAGCGGGAAGGTGACGGCGTCGCCGGCCGCAAACACACCTGGGACACTGGTCTGCATCATCTGTGCGGAGAACAGGGCGCCGTGGCCGGGGGTGGGTGGGGATGTCCGCCCCTCCCCCGCCTCTCCCACGCGCACCCCACCTTGTTGACCGGGATGAAGCCTCGGTTGTCCAGAGAGATGCCACTCTGCTTCAGAAAGCCCGTGGCAGGCACAGCGCCTGGGGACACGGAGGCCACGTTCTGGCCCGTCCCCACCCACTCACCCCACGGAAGCCCCTTGCTCACTGCGCCCCCCGCGGCCCCCCCCCCCCAAGAGCGGCTGGGCAAACCGCAGCTTCTGGCCCCTGAACTGCTGTGTCTCAGCTCTGCCCCGAGCAGTTAGAGGGGACTCTGCCCTTAACAGGGGGCACAAGGCTGGGCGTGGAGGGGGAGCGGGCAGTGGGCACTGGGCACTGGGCAGCCTTCATCATGCCTGGCCCTGGGCACTCTCTCACTACGATTAAGTCAATTCGGACTCGTAACGAACTTATAGGACAGAGCAGAACTGCCCCTGTGGGTTTCTGAGGCTGTGACTCGACGGGGGTAGAAAGCCCCCCACCCCCCCACCCCCGGAGCCGCGGGTGGTTTCGAACTATGGATCTTGCTGATCATAGCCCAACGCGTAACCACTAGGCCACCAGTGACGGTCCCATTTTACAGAAGTGGAAGCCGAGGGTCAGGACGAACTCCAAATCACCGGAGTGTGTGTGGGGGGAACTCGGCTTGCTGATGGGCGCCCACTCTTACCAATGCCCACCACGCAGACATCGGCCCGCACAACCTTGCTGCTCTTCAACACAACCTCCTTCAGCTGCGGTGGGGGAGGGGGGGGTTGAGCAGATGGGCCCTGCTCTGGGCCCAGAGGAAAGGGGGCAGAGGGGACTGGGGATGGTGGCTCCCACCTTTCCCTCCTGAGCCCGCAGTTCCGACACCTCCGTCTGCATGTAGAACTTCACCCGGTAGTTCTCGAACATCTGTGGGGCAGGGGGGCCTGTGAAGGGGGGCTCTCGGGGTCCCAGGGGCCAGGCATGTGCGGCATGGACTTGCCTTCATAAGGGTCCGGCCGACCCGCTCCCCCAGAAATCTCCTGAAGGGCGTTTCTTCCAACTCCACCACAGACACTGAATGAGCTTTCTCCGACAGGTAGGCGGCCACCTCCATCCCTGAAGACGTGGGCAGGGCGGCAGGCAGGCTGGCATCCTGTGCCTCCCCTGGCAGCCGGGCCACCTCAGCCCCCCCAGGACCCACCCACCCCAGCTGCTCACCCAGGAAGCCAGCTCCCACGACAACAGCGTTGCGGCCCCGGGCCAGCCTCACCACGCGGTTGGCATCCTCCGGCGTCCGGATGGTGAATACATTCTCCACCTCTTTGCCTTTGCAGCTCAGGGTCTTGGGGCTGAGGCACTGGCCAGGTTGGTGAGGGGCACCCCACCCCTCACCCCAGCCCTCCCTGCCTAGCCCAAGTACCCTGCCCTGCTGGGGTCCCACCTGCTCCCTGGTGCCAACAACAGCTTGCTGTATTCCAGCTTGAAGCCGTCCTTGAAGACTGCCTTCTTGTTCTTCACATCCACAGTGACCACCTATGACCCGAAAGGCAGGGCGTGGGCCTGGGCACCCGCCTCCATCGACGCCCCATCAGCCCTCTGGCTACCCACTGGCTTCCACTTCTACCTGCTGAGTCGTCCTTGCTCCCTGCCCTGAGCAGGCACCAGTGCCACCCCAGGACTGGAGCTCCGAGACCACCCTTAGACTCGGCCTGAACAACACCCCCACCCCACCCCACCCCAGGCTGAAGGACCCATGCAGCTCACACCGTCCACCTGGGCCTCAGTTTCTCCAGCCTGGGCCACAGACCTGCGCCTCCGTGAGCACTTCAATGCCATAGGCTCGGAAGAACTCCTTGGGCCGGAGGGTGAGCTGCTCAGGCTGTGCATCTAGGGACTGCAGGAGACACTGGGCTCAAGACAGGGCCGGGCAGCAGCTGCTTCACTTTACAGCGGAGGACCAGAGCCCCAGGGGGCCTGGGGCCTGGGTCCCTTGGAGGTGGCAGACAGGATTCAACAAGCCACATGGCTTTCTGGGCACCATGCCGGGTGTGGAGTAGCCAGACCCCCAGGGGGGCAAGTAAGAACAACGCCTGGGTGGGCCTGACTGGGATGGCAGGGCGGGAAGTCAGCTCTGCCCAGTTCTCAGCACCCCTGTTCCCCACCTTGCTGAGCTTGGGCCGGTCGTAGGGGAGGTGTCGGTCCAGCGTGCACAGGACAATCCGGTCAGAGAAGCCCTCTTGCCGCAGCGTCTCTGCACACACAAGGCCAGCTGCCCCTGCAAGGAGAAGCTGTGGGCCAAGGGACCCTCCCCCAGCCCCGCCCACCCGGCACCCACAGCCCACCTCCCAACCTGCTCCCACAATGAGCACGTTGGTGCTGCCGCTGTGGCCCAGGCTCGGGGAGATACACTTGGTCATCACCTTGGTCCTTCGCTGCAGTTGCAGGGCCTGGCAGTGGGGACAAGGGGTGGAAGGAACGGGCCCATCCAGCCAGGTCCCCAGCCACACCCCCCACCACACCCCCAGGAACCAGCTGCCCTCCCTGCCTCTCCCTGGAGCCTCCGCTCTCACCTGCTTGCTGGCCCGGACATACACCTTCTCCTTCTCCACCTTCACCTGCAAGGGTCGAATTGCTTAGCTCCAGGCTCCTGGCCCAGCCCTGAGCCCGGCCACACCCCATCACGCACCAGGCCCCACCTGGAACTTGGGCAGACTATCCAGGCCTGGGAAATCCTCTAGGTCCCCAGTGCTGATGTTGAAGCAGGCACCATGCCAAGGGCAGCGTACTCGGCCTCGGGACAGCACCCCTGCAAGGGAAGGCGCTGGGCTGGGGCCCCCACACATGGAGGCTGACCTGGGGGGCACTGTGGCCCCACCCCACCTCCCACACTCACCTTTCACCAGGGGCGCCCCATAGTGCGGACACTTGTGGCCCAGGGCATGGAATTCACCGGCCTCCTTCACCAGCAGTACCTTCCCCCAGCCCAGCTCCACCTCGCGCATCCTGGGGAGGGCGGGCCTCAGAGGTCAGGCCAGGACCAGGCCCCTGCCAACCAGGGGCCAGTGGGGAGCTGACCCCTGGCCCTGCCCTCCCCAAGCCCGTGCCCTCTGCCCACCCCAACCCCCAACCCTGGTGGGCCCAGGACCCACTGGCCATTCTCCAGGTCCTTGAAGTGGCAGACAGCAGCCTCCAGGTAGTCCTGGGCACTGGGATAGGGGTGGGCGGTGGTCAGGCGCTCCTCAGAGTGGAAGTGGCGGGCTGTGCCGTTGCCCGGGTAAGCCCGGGGGCTGCTCTTGGCACTGGCTGACAGCTCTTCCTTGGCGCGTTCCTTCTCGGGCAACACCACCTCAATCTTGAGCTCCACTGTGGGCAGGGGGGCACCTGAGCAGGGCACCGAGGCCCCCAAGTCCCACCCCACCTGCCCCGACATGGGCATCTCCTACCAAGAGCCCGAGAACAGACAAGCAGCAGGGCAGGGAGCAGGGCCTGCTGGGAGCTGTCTAATGCATGTCTCTTTTTGTCCCCCCAATCACACAATTCAGAGGGAGACTCGGCGGGAGGTTCCAGCAGGCCCCCAGGTGGAGGGTTGGGGTGGCAGTGGACACACTCCACTGCTAAGCAAACAAATAGAAGTTCAAGTTCACCCGAAGGTGCACCTTTTGAAGAAAGGCCTGCCACCCTATTCCTGGAAAATCTGTCACAGAAGTCCCTAAGGAGCCCGGTTCTGCTCAGAGGCACACAAGGGTGTCAGGAGGCAGCATTCCCAACAGGGGCTTTTCCAACCCTGTAATGGCTCAAGATAAATGGAGAAAAGACGGAGGCTGTCCAGGACCCACCATCAATACGGAAGCAGCAGTCAAGAGATCAAAAGACGCAGTGCATCGAAGAAATGTGCAGCATGAGGCCGCTTCCCAATAGAAATGAACTCACTGCCTAAATGTTTCCTCCCTGCTCCCACTATCATGACTCGAATTCGATCTTGCAAGTCTGGCTAGACCAGAGGAGGTACACTGGTACAGATGGGAACTGAAAATACAGGGAATCCAGTGCGGTAGAGCCCTATAGGACCAGTGGTGTGAGTGACAAAACAGGGAGGGTAAAGGGAGAATGGGTAGGAAAGAGGGAACCGATTACATGGAAATGTGTGTGACCTCCTCCCTGGGGGACAGACAACCGAAAAGTGGGTGAAGGGAGACGTCGGACAGGGCAAGATATGACAAAATACCCATTTATAAACTATCAAGGGCTCATGCGGGAGGGGGGAGCGGGGAGGGAGGGGAAAAACGAGGACCGAACGTCGGGGGTTTAAGTGGAGAGAAAATGTTTTGAGAAACGATGTACAAATGCGCTTTACACAGTTGATGTGTGTATGGATTGGGATAACAGTTGTATGAGCCCCTAATAAAATGTTAAAAAAAAAAGAAAAAAGAAATGAACTCACTGCCACGGGGTCGATGCCAACCCAGAGCAGCCCTGCAGGACCGGGTGGGACTGCCCCCGGGAGTCTCCAAGAACGTAACTCTTGACAGGAGTAGAACCCCGCTCTTCTCCTGGCGGGTGGCAGCCCACTATGTAACCATTACACTCCCAGGGCTCCCTAAGACCTCTTTAGAGTATTGAAAAATAAGGATGTTGCTTTGAGGACTGCTGAAAGGACGCACTGATCTGTCTTGGAAGAAGTCTAACAGCCAGAGTGCTCTCACGTACTTTGGCCATGCGATCAGGAGAGACCAGTCCCTGGAGAAGGACATCCCGCTGGGTGAAGTAGAGGGGCAGCAGAAAGAGAGGCCTTTAAGGTGATGACTGTGTGGCTGTGAGGATGGATTGAAGCACAGGAATAATTATGAAAACATCCACACTGCCTCCTACGGAGAGCCAGAAGAACAAACAAAATCTGTCTCCGGAGAAGCAAAGCCAGCGTGTGCTTTAGGAGTGAGGATGGGAGACTTGGTCTCATGCCCTGTGGGCATATTATCAGGAGGGACCGGCTTGTTCCTGGGTAAAGTAGCACCCCAATCTCACTGCCGTTGAATCCATCCTGACTCGGAGCCACTCCACAGGACAGAGGAGAACTGTTCCTAAGGGTGTCAAAGGCGATACATCTTTAGGGGATGAGAAAACTCCAGCTTTCGCCCCAGCAGCTGGTGGGTTAAATGGCCCACGCTGTGATTAACAGCTCAGCATGTAAACCCCACCCCCCTCGGGGCCAGTGAAAAAGAGGAACTTCCTTAAGGAGCTGGGTCCACAGAGTGACTGTAACCATGGCTCAAACACAGATATGATGGGGCGGGGGGTGGGGTGGGGTGGGGGGTATTTTTTTATACGGTCGCTGTCAGTCCGAGCCCCTCACAACCACGGTTTCTCACAAGCACAAATTGCCCTCTCTCTAAATATCTACATGCCCTCTCTCTAAATATCTACATCGGGTTAGAACCCCGATGCCCAGAGTCTCGCTCTGACTCCAAGGGGCACCACCCCCGGCCCACAGGAAGCCTGGGGGCCTTGAGAGGGCAACTCGGTGCCAACAGGAAGATCAGGGCATGGCGGGTCGAGCAGGTGGTGAGGTCAAGGGTTCATATCCTGTCTTTTTGCCATGTTCCTGCAGATTCGAAGATTTTTCATATTAAGAAGATACACAACTTCATTGCCTCGTTTTAAAATAGCTATCCTCACCAATTTGAGGACCATTCATTCATTACTTGTCTAAGACAAGGTTTCTTTTAAAAAATTTTTAAATTTTAAGATAGGGCTTCCGGTGCACCAAGACATGAATGCAACATACCGGCATGAAGCAGGGAACCAATAGAGAGGTCGGTGGGGCCAGCCCCTATCCCAACTACATGGACACACACATCCTTCCCAGAAGAATTTACTTCAGAGGACAGCACTGAAGCTACAGCTCAGGGAGAGGGACATGTCTGATCAGAGCACACAGGGGCAAATGAAGGGGGAGGAAGAGAGAGTGGAGCACATCCTGGTCCACCAAGCCCCGAGGACAATATTCCTGCTGAGCAGCCAATGCACAGACAGGACCATAGGACCGGCCCCACCACGGCACAAGACATTCCTCACTGACCCATAGGGCTACAGGCGACAACACTGGAGATACAGTGCAGGAATTGTGCCCTATCTGACCCCACCACACCGGGGCAAAAAGCTAAGGGGGTGCAACAGAGCAGCAAGGGAAGCAAAGCAATGAAGTCCGGGGAATACCAAAAATAGACTTTGGGGCCAGGGAGTGACACCCCATCAGACTTCACTGGAAAGCACTCCTAAAGGGCAACAAATGGACCTGGAACTATTGATAGGCATTTCTTTTTTTTTTTTTGGCCTGGGTTTTTTTGGTTGTTGTTGTTGTTTGGTTTTCTTTTGTTGTCTTGTTCTGCTCTGTCTTGTTTTTGTGCTTATTATTGTCTCTGCATGTCCATCTAGATAAGATAGGCAGGATAAGCAATCTGGAGGAGAAAACAACAGGAACAATGGTTGGGGCGGTGGGGGCAAGGGTGGGATATGGCAGAGGGGAGGCGGGGAAAGGAAGTGGGTATTAACAAATCCAGGGACAAGGGAACAACAAGTGATCTAAAATCAATGGTGAGGAGGGTGTAGGAGGCCTGGTAGGGCTGGTCAATGGCAATGTAACCAAGAGGAATTACTGAAACCCAAATGAAGACTGAGCATGATAGTGGGACAAGAGGACAGTAAAAGGAAATGGAAGAAAGAACTGGAGGCAAAGGGCATTTATAGAGGTCTAAATAGAGGCATGTACATATATAAATATATTTATATATGATGACGGGGATATAGATCCATGTACATATATGTTAAGTATCAAGGTAGCAGACAGACATTGGGCCTCTGCTCAAGTACTCCCTCAACACAAGAATACTTTGTTCTAGGAACCCACCATTCTGTGATGCTCACCTTCTCAACACGATCACTGAGGCCAAAGCGGGTGCATAAGCAAATGTGAAGAAAGCTGATGGTGCCCGGCTTTCAAAATATACAGTGTATGGGGTCTTAAAGACTTGAAGACAAACAAGCGGCCATCTAGCTGAGAAACAACAAAGTCCACCAGCCTGTGTGATCATGAAGTGTCAATAGGATCAGATATTGGGCATCAAAGACCCAGAACAAAAAATCATATCATTGTGAATGAGTGGGAGTGTGGAGTGGAGACCCAAAGCCTATCTGTAGATAATTGGACATTCCCTCACTGAAGAGTCACAAGGAAGAGACGAGCCAGTCAGGGTGCAGTATGGCACTGATGAAACATACAAGTTTCCTTTTAGTTATTTAATGCTTCCCTCCCCACTATCATGATCTCAATTCTACCTTACAAATCTGGCTAGACCAGAGCATGTACATGGGTACAGATAAGAGCTGGAAACACAGGGAATCCAGGACAGATAAACCCTTCAGGACCAATAATGAGAGTAGCGATACCAGGAGGGGAAGGGGAAGGTGGGGCGAGAAAGGGGGTACGGATCACAATGCGCTACTTATAACCCCCTCCCAGGGGGATAGACAACAGAAAAGTGGGTGAAGGGAGACATTGGTCAGTGTAAGACATGAAAAAACAATAACAATTTATAAATTATCAAGGGTGAGAGAGGGAGAGGAAAAATGAGGAGCTGATACCAAGGGCTCAAGTAGAAAGAAAATGTTTTGAAAACGATGAGGGCAACAAATGTACAAATGTGCTTGACACAATGGATGGATGTATGGATTGTGATAAGAACTGTATGAGCCCCCAAGAAAATGATTAAAAAAAATAAAAGATGGGGTTTCTAATATCTGAGTGTGCAATGAAGCCTTAAAGGTGCACACAAGTTTGTGCAAGAGAGTGTATCTACATGTGTATACATGGGTGTCTATATATGTGCTTGTGTTTATATAAGTATGTGTCTGTGTATGTGTTTGCATGTCTGTGTGTTGCAGGTGTGTGTATGCATATTTGTGTCTGTTTCTGTGGGTGTCTGTGTCTATGTATGTACACATCTGTATATCTATATATGTCTGTGTGTCTATATGTGTGTGTCTGTGTCTATGTATGTACATGTCTGTGTCAATAAGTATGTGTCTGCATGTGTATGCAGAGCATGTAGAAGGGGTCCAAGGCTCCCTACAGAAGCCCTCCCCCTAGCACCTCTACAGGGGCAGGAGAAGTATGCTGGAGACAGGCAATCTTTCCTTTCTACTTGTCTGCATTTTCCAAATTCCCTACCACGTGCTGGGACTATTTTCCTCATTAGAAGGGAACAATAAACAGAATTTTGAGCAGTGATAATCCGGACCCCTGGGTTGCTGCTGCGGGGAGGAGGGTAGAGCAGGAAGCTGAGCCCCTGGTGCAATGGGGCCTAAGTGGGGAGTGGAAGGTCTCTCTCCAGGGTCCCTACGCCCACAGGCCACCCCTGTTCTACTTCCAACCCAACCCCAGCCAGATACCCCCAAAACAGAGAACCCCGAGTGTGACAACTGAGTCTCAACCTGGCCTCGTCCTTCCTGGCTTTGACCAACACCACCCTGGCCACTGTCACACAGGCCCCTGCCTGGTCCCCCGACTCTGGTCGACCCTGGCTGGTACACCTTCTTCACAGGTCATCTCCCAACTGAGGCCCAGACACCACAGGAGGCTCGCTGAGCCCACCCAGGCAGAGGGAGCACATGTGGATACACTTCGTCCACTGTGGCGGTGATGGCGGGGGTGAGTGGAAGGCTAGGAGGGGCTTCCCCACACAAAGACACTTTATGTAATCGCCTTAGAATGTTTGCAGAAGAAATAAAAAGAAACATGTTCTGGACTCTGCTGACATCAGCTGTGTGCCTTGTGGCGAAGGCACTCACAGGGGTAGCCTGGCGGGAGGCCAGAGAATAGTCAAGCCAGGCTGTCCTCGTCCTCCACCTTCTTCCAGAAGATTCTACACTCCCAGGTGCGGTCTCATAAAACCCCCAAGCCAAGCCCGCTGCCATGGAGTCGATTAAGTGCAGGGAAGGGGGTCCCTCTGCTCACCCTTCAGAACCCCATCAACCGGGTTTCCTGTCTCCCCACTGCCCTTGGTGTCAGGACCCACTTTCAGCTCTGAGGCTCAGCTGCCTCTGATAAAAACAGGGGTTGCGGGGGAACAGCATCTGCCTTGATGGTGATAACAAGTCTGGAGGAGACCATCTATGTCAGTGGTTCTCAACCTTCCAAATGCTGCGACCCTTTCAGACAGTTCCTCATGTTGTGGTGACCCCCAACCATAACATTATTTTCATGGCTACTTCATCACTGTCATTTTGCTACTGTGATGAATCGGGCGACCCCTATGAAAGGGTCATTCGACCCCCAAAGGGGTTGAGAACTGCTGATCTATGTGAACGCAGACTAGAAGCTCCAATTGATGGTGCTCTGTCACCTCTGAGCTTCCTAGCAGCTACGGGGAGGAGGGAAAGCCTTCAGATAGCCCTTGAGGCCTGGCTGGACGCCCTGCAATCACTGAAGGGATTGACTGCTAAATGCAGGCTTGCAGTTCGAGTTCTCCCAGAGGCACAGTGAGAGAAAGCCTTAGAGATCTTCTGATACGTCCAAACCAGACTCTTTGCCATCAAGTCCATGCCGACCCAGAGTGACCCTGCAGGATAGGGTAGAACTGCTCTTATACCCATAATACCCGAGACTGTAACTCTTTACCGGAGCAGAAAGCCTCATCTTTCTCCTGAGGAGAGTCAGATGGTTTTCAACTGCCGACCTTGGCGGATGGC